AAGGAAACGTCAGCTTGACTCATATGATTGTGGGAAAATTCTACTACCAGTCCTTTCATCACCTTAGACGAAATAGGGTGAATGCATCTCATTACACTGATTTACTGGAAGTCTAGAAACCCTACTCGCATACGAACTTAATCATATCATCGGACCACATTTTGCCACCGTTTCCCCGGAATCGAAGGTGATTATCGAGCAAACAACGCCAGCAGTAATGTTCCAGTAAAGCCAATCATCGCGATCTTCTTCTGATCGGATCGACCTTTGAATCTCTTGTCCAAAGACTTTCACTCGAAACGGAAGCGAGCTCAACACTTTTGAAACAAGAGACTCCTTGAAACTCAAATTTTAGTCACATCAACACGAGTTGTCTCAACTCCACAAGCCTCGTCTTGGCATCTATCGCACAGCAAAATATCGACCCATCCGCCCCATTCAAATTCTGCCTTGGTCTGATCACGGACAGGCCCTGCCGTCGCATGGACTCTTACGGCGAGTCTGTTCGAGCAGCAGCGTTGGCGGCTGTGCGCATTATTGATCCGTTCTGTCCGTCCGACAGGCTTGATGCATTGTGGCCACGTGCAGTCAGTCGAGGGCAAGCAAACTCTTCAGGACTACTTTTATTAGCCGCCACTGCAGAAAACACGTTGACGTGAACTTGACTTTGGGAAACCGAGGCTAATTCCACTTTCCTTGCGAGTGCAGCATTTTGTATCTGGGAGAGAATTTCTTTAAATGTAATCGATTATCCCACATTTTATGGCCATTGCCAAGTGGAAGTGAATGCTTTGTTGAACGTCCCAGTGGCGCTAAGGCAGAGATGGCAGTGGATGCTAGAGAGCCTTGGCGACGGCCAAGCCTTTCGGTTAACACTGTTCGTCTGGGAAGAGACTCGAGTTTCGGTATCAACGGTCACTGTAGGCTGGTCGGTTATCGTCTCAGAAATTCCACTCCACCCCATCCTCTGGTATTCGAATTTAATTTTCTAAACGGTTATCCAATTCAATCCACTCAACTCGACTACATTCAATTACAATAACTCAATT